AATATCAGATTGGCATACAGGAAAGCCCTACTGTCGCTTTGTTAGGGAACGACAAACAATGTGTGGAAGATTACTACTCACCGGGGATATATACTACACGACCCAAAGATAGGCCGTTTGTTAATAAACATTGAAGCGACCAAGAAGTTCTTGACCACTCGCATTAAAGAACATAAACTGTATAGTTTTTTTAAATACTATATTTAACACTGCTCTGTCCACATACGCAAATGACAATGACGTTGTGGTTCGCTTACGATAATCCACCCCATAGCAGATCCAGCACATTTAAAATACATGGAATCTCTAGAAATTATAAGGCCGTGAAAAATCGGACTGCCGTCAATCGGACAATCTGTCAGTGGCGTGGAGAGCATGGTTCGAACCATAATAAATTACTTCATGCATAATCTTAAGTTTATTAATCAAAATATTCTTTTATTAATGATATAACTTTTTCCCTTTATGATATACATTCTCTGTGGGGCACACGCCCGAACCTCGCGTCTTTCAATTGATTTCCATATTGGACTTTAATAGGCTAAATGTAATCTGAAGATGTCTGATTGATACGGACGAAAACGTTCTGTTTATTAAATACTTTTGTTGTTTGGTGTACTGTTTTGTATAATATATACCAGTTCCTAAGAGTTTAATATGCCTAGTTTTGCCTGATTTTGAATTAAAAATTTGAACAACTTACCTCATGGATGCAATCCTTTCACTTGTACTTTATTTGTGATACCAAACGACGACTTGTTCTTTTTCTTTTGAAAGAATTTAAGATATTAGCATTAATTTAACTATGAATAATTTACTTACAAATCCAAAATAAAACTATGGCCTAAAATCCAAAACTGTGGCTTTCTAGAGAAACACAGAAATATATACTTTCTCAGATAGGCTTGGAAGCACCTGTTCCGCCTTCCAGGCTGAGCTCTGGGCAATTCTGTCAGCAATAAAATGGTGCAATCACAATTTCAACTCCACGGATATTAACATCTTCACGGATTCATGCTCATCAGTGCAAGCCATTTCTAATTATAACTGGCTTCATCCAATAGTTAACTGGATTTTAAATAATTTATTAGAGAACAACAACATATTCACTGTGATCTGGGTTAGAAGACACTGTGGTGTCTTCGGCAACGAGCGAGCTGACGAACTTGCTCGGTCGGCCGCCACTTCCTGTGACGATCCTACATACTCTGCAACACCACAGAGCTATATAATTCAAAGAATCAAAAACTACACTAAGGACAGGTGGCAACGTTGCTGGAACACACATAACAACACACTAACAAAAGACTTTTTCCCTTTGGTCTCTAATACAGTAAAGAATGACGTGGAGCACTGCCTCACCCAATTTTACACCGGCCATGGCAGGTTTTACCATTATCTCCACAGATTTAAAATATCAAACGAACAGAATTGTACAATCTACGGTGTTCCCGACGGTTCTCGGCACTACCTTTTAGAGTGCCCTATGTTAGATGATATGCGGGCACGCATTACTGGACTTTTACCTAACAATTGCGGATGGCCACCTGATCTTAGTATTTTGATTGGAGATAACAACCTGTTCAAAGCCACTAGAGACCTTATTAAAACATATTTTAAAAGGACCACTGTAATTTAATTCCATATGTCTTTTTATGTCATATGTTATTTTTCTCTGTTACATGTACAGTACTATTCTATTGCCTTATGGCGGCTGTTATTGTTATTTTGTTGCTTTGAACAATATAACAAGGTATCCAAAAGCTTTTAACTCTACTTTTACGACTACTGGCAAGTGGCCTATAGTGATTGTAAATATTGTTATTGATGTTAATTGTTTGTTCATATGTTTTCATTTATATTGTGTATCATTTTATACTCTATGAAAATTTGTATTACAAAACGACCTGTTACATCTGTAACATTTACGTATTCTTACCTCGGCTATGCCTAGCGGTGTCGAGGCACTTGTAAATAAAGGATTTTAAAAGTGAAAAGTAAAAAAAGTGGGCTGGCCACGTGGATTTCTCCGCTTTTTTACGTTTGTAACACCCAATAGGGACCAGTTTTTCATAGAATGTCTTCCGGGGTGGTACCCTCGGCAGATCGCCAGGTGTCACGTTGCCGTAACCAAATGAACAACAGCCACTTGCCTTCGAGCGCTCCTTGAGTCTTCTAAAGCCCTCAAGGGGATTTTAGCTCCCCATTCGGGGATCACTGGTCTTCTAGACACGCATAAGTCTTTTAGATTTATCTATTCAAAAAATTGTTATGCACGAATCTCTTCTAGCTCCTATTTATGATAATACCTGGATTCGCTATTATTTGCATACGCTAGAGAATAGTTATCGATCCAATTTTAATCTTATATTGGTCAGCAATGACATTTGGACCAGGCTTTACGTTTATGGGGCCTCAAAAACATCATTATTATAAATTATTCTTTATATTGTCAAGAAAAGCATCATTTATCTTGTTATCAAATTTTATTATTTTAAAAATATTGTACAATTTTTAGCACTTGTTTCTAATATGCTGGAGGGCCTCATAATAGCAAGTATCCCAGGCCATTCTGGGCATCTGAAAGGCCCGAAAAATAAAATATTATTTTATTATAGATACCGAAGTGACGAAATAATATTTTCAGTAATTCTAAACAAGAAAATCGTCGTTTGAAGTCGTTTAAAATAAGAAAAAATTGCGCGTTTAGAAACAAACCTTTAAGTAAAATTGCAAAAATTAATATAGAAACAGAATTGATTTTCAAAATGGTTCCAGTCCCTGGCTGACATCATAAAATCACAAATGGATCGATTGATATTAATTATTCCAAGTTAATATCTAATAATGCTTTGTAGTTAAATATCCTTAACATTTTACTGGAAAATTGTATTTTAAACACAATTAAACAGTATAGGGTGGCCCAAAAGTTACTTAACCGTGATTCGTTTTACATGCTCAAGTTGAACTGTGAGCTTAATAAACTGTTATAATCTCATTTTGAAGATATTATTTATAGGATAAATCATTTGAGTAAGGCAGTTATTGAATCTTTACAACAATTAACTGATTTTTGGACACCATGTATGGTATTTAACTATTGAAGCGAATAGAAAAAAAACAAAGTAGCTAGAGACAGGATATGAAGAAATCTTAATTAAGAAATTGTTGCGTGTTGTTTAGTTGTTTATTTGATACGGCAATGCGGCATGTGGGCAATCTGCCGAGGAGGATGCCATCAGGGAGAACTTTCTATTTGTTCGCGCCTCGCCAACGGCTGGCCACATGGAGTTTTCCAGGTTTTCACGTTTGTAACATCTAAATAGGGACCAGTTTCCCTTAGAAGTTCTCCCGGGAGGCATCCTTTCTCGGCAGATGGCCCATGTGTCGCCTTGCCGTAACCAAATCAATCAAAATAACGAATAAAACACAGCACGGGATAACGAGCGTTACATTATTTTATTAATTACATGTATAACGAACGTACTAAGCAGTGACATACGATTCGCTATGCAACCTTTCAGAGATAAAATGAATCATTCTATTACCCAAGTGTTGAGACCGTAGCACTACATTTTTGTAAACATCCCCTCCCTTGTAATGTATCGTAACGATTACCTTCAGATCCACCCACTCATATCGTGTTTCCCCGAATATAAGACATCCTCTGAAAATAAGACCTACCATAGGTTTTGCTGAATTGCTAAATATAAGGCCTCCCCCCCGAAAGTAAGACATAGCAAAGTTTTTTTTTTTTTTACTCGTAACAGTCATCGACAGATGGTTGAAAGTGGCCGTTGGCTTTTTGAAAGTACAGCCACTGATTGGTCAGCAGACAATCACGCCACACGGCATGATTTGCATAAAACTATGGCTTGGGAATCACAGATTTGCATAACGTTACGGCTGGTGATGGCTAATTGGTCGGCCGGGAATCACGCCACATGACATTTGCATAGTGCTACGGTTCAGTAAGCACTAATTGGTCATCGAGCCCGATGTCGACGCTATAAAAAAGTTAAGTTGAAGCGAGAGTGGGAAGTCCACTCCAGCACGGGAACTTCGTAAGTTCACTGCTGAGGCCTGATTGTGAGGCAATCAATGGCCTAGCCCGGTCTTTGGATCGGACGATGAGGGCTATTTTTGTGAATGGTCGCTTGGTCGCTACTTGCTTGGCACTTGGGCTGGGGGACTCGTCTCCCATCCATTAGGGGTGCTGTATAGGAGTAGTCGTACCGGATGCCAGATCGGTTGAGGCGTTCAATAAACTTTATCGACGACGTCGACACGACCGGATATACGTCACTCTTGTCTAAGTTCGACTTTGAATTTTTTGTTCAATAATTGTGAATTCGTCTTCATGGAAAAAATAAGACATTCCCTGAAAATAACACCTAGCGCATCTTTCAGAGCAAAAATTAATATAAGACACTCTTATTTTCGGGGAAACACTATCTGTGGTATAGTACGTAATTTATGGACGCCCGTTTATTGAAAAAAAAACAATAGATAATTACTAACATAGGGTTATAACTATGGTGACATTTACTATTGAAGAATTGCCTTCTGGTTTTATATAATCAATGTTTCGTGTTTACACTTTTAAGTACAGATAAAGTAATCAGGGCCTTCTCAGACGTCAGGTCCCTGTTTCAAATTTCCAAGAAAATTTGATTAGAAAATTCTTTTTTGCAAATACCTTAGGGCCCCACTAATAACTTTTTCTGAGGCCGCGCAAAACCTCCAGCCGGCTACGAAATTAGTGGTGAAAATTGAAATAAAAGTATATCAATTAAACCACTTTGCATATTATATCATTGAGCAGAAATTTTGCTGGCGTAAACGATTTAATTTGCATTATTGATTAATTGCCACATTTATGTAAAGGTTATTTAGCATTATTTATTTGACACTGCTTTTTTTCGAAAGTATAAATGCTTAGCAACGTGACGCGAAAAGTTGCGTGCATTTCTAACAGCAATTGACATTAAGTATGAATTCCTCTTTGTGAAAGAGTAAAATGGATATTAGAGTACATCTAATATTGAAATTATTGATATTTTCAGGTAAAGAAATCATTTTATTTTGATTAAAAGTTGATTATTATTACGTAAGGTTCTTCAAAACACTTAATTTAGGACTATTTCGAGTGTGCTCACTCAAGGGAGTTGTTGGAAGAGGTGTCGCTCTTTCTGGTACGGTGCTTAAAGGATCAGCTGTCAGACCAAGACCGGGAGGACCTAATCTATGGTAAGATTGTGTAAAGCATTAGTTTTCATTCAAACGTTCGAATTACCATTTCGTGAAAAGTATTTTCCACAAAATCAGATCGTTTATTCGCGCGAGGCTTTGTGGAGGAGGATCTTGAACATATTAAGAAAGTTCCTAATGTAATTCTCAATAGTCAGGATACAAAGATTTAAAAGAAAAATTTTCAAATTTTTACGGCCCACCAGTGGCCGAGTGGACAAAACCATCGAACACTGGTCGTAGGTTCGCGCAACATCAACAGGCTGGTCACATGGATTTTCCCGGGTTCACGTTTGTAATACTTAAACAGGGGCCAGTTTTCATAGAAAGTCCTTCCGGGAGGACTAACCCACGTGTTACGTTGCCAAAAACCAAATTTTATGAAATAAACTAAATTAATAACGTTATTTACTACAATACTTATTTTAAACTCTTTCCATGTTCATCATGGGTTCAGTTAGGCCCTAAATGGAGGAGGTTCAGTAGAGGATTTACCAGGAAGCAAAGGTGTTGCGCTGAGAGGGGTCACGGCGGGAACTTCCTTTATATTCTTTAAATTTTGTGTTATGAACACAGAGAAACTGTATATTAATGACAAATGAGTTTAATTCTTCGTTCAATTTCTGCCTTCCTTTTTTATTTCGTTTTAGTTGCAAGGGGCCCGAAAAATTTAAATTGCTTGAGACCCCTTCGCGGGTAAATGCGGCACTGGGGAGGTCCAAACATATGTACGTCGGCCCACCCCACATATTCACTACAATCAAGAATATGGTTATTCGTACGTTTCATTGACAGTAAACTTTTTAATATTTAAACACCAAAATTTTGGAAGATTTTGCTTTTTTTGCAGGGGTGGCATCTTTATAGGTTCGGGATCACGATACGGTAATTTTTATAAATATATTTAAATATGAATAAAATTTATTTATTTAAGTAATTTGCCGAAATTAATAGTGTTTTGACATTTCTAGGAAGTGAAATACTTGTTATTGTTTTCTGGATCGCAACAATTGCTGTTGTGTTTATATTCACAGCATTACTTGCTGTGTGTTACAAAATAATATGCAGATATAAAGGACGAAAAGTGCAAGTAAATGACATCACAAAATAAATATATAATGTATTTTATAAAGAATGTATGTGATAATATATATCAACTCTTTTTGACAGTCAAATACTGTATATTCAAACAGGACCGGCTCAGATGGCGGTTTTCGGGCCTCAGAACGAGGCCCCGCGCTTAGAAGGCCTTCAATTCAAATTTTCGTAGAAAATTGAAAAATTTGATAAAAATTATTCTTTTCTTGCAAATATTTCCGTGAACCTCCAGTCGGCCCTGTATTCAAATATGGAAATATGAATTATTTCAATGTAGTTTATTGAATAATTCGGTATATATTTTTCAATAAAACATAATATTTGTATTTTCTGTGCAGGCCTATATGGATTAAAAACTTTTTAACTTGTAAAATACGTTGATTTTTAATGAATGTTATTAATAAATTTGTTTAATAATTTAATGTTGAATTTTTCAATGATTAAATATTTTTGTTTAACTTTATTGTCGTCTTAATATTTTCATCAGGCTATCCCATAAGTCACGCACCTTAGGCAATGTAGCAGTTCGATTTGACTGCCGTCCTGTTTCACAGAGATTTAGACGGATGATGCAGTTATTCCATACAAATTGCAAGATGTCAGGCTTTCAAATGAGTGAGTGAGAAGATCATGCGCGTCTGCAAAAAATTTTTTAGGGAGGCAATGCCAGGAGTCAGATAATTACACCTGGTTTCACAAGTAGATTATAGAATACAGTATTGCATCAAAGCGTCCTATGGTCGAGAGTGTATGGTTACATATCTCGATCACTTTTACCATTGTAATTTGTGGAATGTAATTTGTGGAATCCAAGGGGGAAAATGCGCCGTTTATCCCTCTCTGAGAACGCCTATGGACGAGATGATGATGCCTGACTTATGGGACGTCCTGCTGATCACTTGTTGGACTAAAATTTTAAAATAGATTCCTACTATCGTCCGTCCGTTTTTCCTTAATTATGAGAACAGATATGGAAAACTTAGGAACGGGTGGTCCCGATTAACTATATGTGAATTTGCGGTCTGGACCGGAAGTCACGTGATTTTTAAAATATGATTAAAAATTACAGCCTGGCAAATATGATTTATTATTAATCCACTTTGACTATCACCTTATGCTAAGTATATGATACTAAACTTTTTCTCAAATATTAATAATTACATTATTCCTAAGTGTGCATTAAATTGACGAATGAAATATTAATACTACATAACAGTGTACTTATGTAACTTTATTTAATTAAAACATTTATCCAAAACTGAACACTAACAAAGACACATTTGATAGTAACATTTCACAACGTAGCGGTGCGTAAATATCTAATTGAACATTTACTTTTTAACATACTGACTGATGTGATCAAATCATCTCAAACGGCATAAGTACCACACAACCATCAGAATGCATATTAGTATAATGGCTACAATCAAAAGTATTGCCCATAAAGGTATGAATGCTGAAAATAAAACAATTCCATGACTTTTTAGAAATAAACTAATAATTTTTCATAAAATTCATTGTTATGATTATGAATTTCCAGTTTAACTTACTATTATAATGAAATAATAATGATAAAGTATTTTAGGTATTTGTATGTAACATGGTTAAAGATTTTGGACAAGATATAATACAAAATTAGATTATAAACCTCTTTTCTTTTATTAAAACTAAGTTTTATTAATCTTAATTATTCAATTACTTTATTTAATGAGAATTCCGAAAGTTTTAATCTATTCACATGCAATATCTATTTCAAATACAGTAACTGTTAATTATTAAGGTATCAAGGTAACTGTTAATTACATTTGATTTGTTCTAGTTAATTAAAAAAATCCAATTAAACAAGGATTAATCTGAATAATTGAATTATATATATAATGCAAAACTGTTCAAAATATATATATATATATATATATATATACTTAAACTTACCTTTATTTTTTATTTTGGGATAAGGAGTACTATAGGAAAAAATTATTAAAATTAGTTTTAAAATTTAACTATGATAAGACTGTTTAAATATTAGAAAGTATATGAACAATTGCATTATAAAAATAATTTATAAAGGATTTTGTTTTATTGACAGATATGAGAAGGGAATAAAATTATGGTTATTATTTTCCTGGAAACTCACTTTTATTTAAAATAATTTTTGTACATTTTCTCAAGGAAAATCAATAAAAACAAATTAATTTATCTGTACTAAATCCTTATAATAGTAAATAAAGTCTATAATAACTTGTTCTTTACTATGTCTTAAGTAATATTTTCTGTTCTGTGTCTTAACTAAATTTCTTTAGTAAACTATCAGTAAGAAATAACATTTTAAATATTGAATTAATTTGTGGAAGATGCACTCTGTGTGCTATATGTTTATTTAAATATTTGAATTAATTTAAAGAAAATGTTTGTCCAATTATAATATAACTAATAAATTGAAAAAATTCTCAATATATAAAGGTTATTGTAGCCAATAGTAATTAATATGCTACTGCATAGTACAATTGATTGATTTTTTTTATATTTTTATCAAAGAAATGGTTGTTGATTATTGGTAATAAATCCTATAATGTAGTTCAAGAAATTGATCAATTGTAGAATAATTAATTTTTTAATTTTATTTTTATATGTTTACTTCTTTTATGTTTGTTGGTGTAAAAATATACATGTTTATATACTTAAAATCATGTGCAGATATATATATATATATAGATCTAGTGAATTGTGAAGAAGATCTAAAACAAAGAAAAAGTGTTTTATATAAAAAAGAAGCAAAGTTTATTATTATAGAGCAAAAGTTCCAATAATTCAAAAAGCTTATATTTTAATATAAAAATAAATAAATTAGTTACACTTACATTCTCAGATATTTATACATTATTTACTATTTCAACAATGTACAGTATAAATATCTGAGAATGTAAGAGTAACTAATTTATTTATTTTTATATTAAAATATAAGCTTTTTGAATTATTGGAACTTTAATTCTATATTGTTATAATTCTATGAACAACATGAATAACAAGAAAAAAAGAATTTGCTTTATGGAAAAAGAAAGATAAAATCAATCACAAGTATTGACAAATCTGAAAATGAATTGTGATAATTAATAATAAATTAATTATAAAACTGAATAGAGATAAAAAATAAAAAAAATAAAATGTGGAAATTTCTATTAAAAATACTGAATTCTGTATTAATTATAATAAAAAAATTAAATATTTAATTTAAAAATGTGATGATTTAATTAAAAATATTCATGTATGATTTAAGTATGTAAAGATAGTTCTTAATTACCTGATAACATTTTAAGATTTAGACAATAATAAACATAATAGAAGTTAAAAGAATAATTTTATTACAGAAATCTTCTGCTAAAGTTCAATTTTTTGAAACTTTCCTTAAAAATAATTTATTATTTTCTTTAAAGATTTGTATTTTGACTATTTTCTTACTTCTGAATTTTTATTTATAATTGTTTTTATCATTTTAATAAAAGTATTTTAATGATTATGTCAAATTAAACAGAGATGAAAAATTATTCATTATCAATAAATAAAAAATTATATTTAAAGTATTTTATTGTGATAATGAGACTTTATAAGAATAATGGAATAGAAGGGTGACTAAATAAATAATTTTTTTCAAAAGTATTTCATCAGCTGTTACTAAAAGTAATTTTTCAAATATAATAATAATTTTAATACTGTGCAGAAAATTATATCAAATATATTTAGATGGAAAAATTATTTACCGAACTCCTTTCAATGATTGTAGTTTCTCGCTGCATTGAAACTCCTGAAATAATTCTGAAATATAAATTTAATTTAAAAATATTATTTTAAAAATCATTTAAAATGTAAAATAATAAATTCATAAATTTAATTCTTTTCTAAAAATTTTTATATTTTGATTTATATAATATAAAACTTAGTTTAATATATTAATGGCATAAACAGTACATAATATTGATAAATTTCTCCTGTTTATCATGTATAGAAGAATTTATAAAATTCCTAACAAAGAAATAAATCAGATTATTTATCATTTCATGTTGAATTTAAATTAATTTTTGACATTAACTCTTGAAAGTGGAAATTTGTAAGATGATTTTACCTCTAAATTTTATTCCCTCATCTTAAATTTGCATTTGTTTTAACCTTAAAGACAAAATTAAAACACGAACTTCTTGATTACAAAGAATAATATGAATAATGTAGTTTATAATAAAATTTATAAGGATTAAAATTAGATATAAATCACTTTATTAAAATGCATAAATATAAATAAGAGGTTCTAAACTCATAATTTCAGACCAACAGCTAGCTGAAATCTTATATTGAACTTAATTAGTTTATTAAATGAGCAAACGTAAATTGAATTATTGTACTAATTTCCTATTAGAAATTAAATTTTATCCTTTACACCTTAAAATTACTAATTGTTAATTAACATTAAAGGTGTATCTTCTTCATTAATAAGTAATACGGATAATGTAATTTAATTGGATATAAATCATTCACCCGTTTGTGTGAAATAAAATAATAAGCTTTAAGCTTATAATTCCAAAAAAGGAGATATTGATTTTAATAGAAGATTTGAACTAAGTTTGTCAACTTAATAAAAATAGGCTAGATTCTTCCTATTTCGTCCATTCTTTATACAGGAGGTGTCAGATTAGAGTACTGGATTACTAAGAGGATATGTAACCTGTTGCCCTTTGGCACTGATATTTTTTGGAGTTGTACTTTTTTTTATATATTAGTGTATCCAATCAGCATTGGACATTTTGTCTTTTACATAATTTACTGAGGTCGTAGCCTCAAATAAAAGGTCGAACCTCAGTGTGATTAAGATTAGTTTCTGGTGTGAAAAAGAAGTGAAGACACCGCTTTTTATAGTATATGTTTGTTCTTAATGAACATTAGTGTCCTGAATTATGTACATATTTTTTATTGTCAAATTATGTACAATGATACAATACTTTGTAAGCTTAATTCTTTATCAAATTTAACGTTGCGAGTTTGCTGCATGCATTAAAAACACAAATAAGAGACAAATATTACAGGGATATGTCATATAATTGAGAGACCAGATTAGCAAGAGTGTACTGTAGGACTGAAATTAAATATTGATCCTCCACAACCTACAACTCCCATTCGTTTAACTTTAAAATAAAAATTAAAGCATGTGATTCTTGAACCACATTAATTTTAATAACTGTAAGCTTAATTGTTTATCAAATTTACTGTATACATTAAAAAACACACGAATAAGTAACCAATATTATAATGGGGATATGCCAATTAATCGAGAAATCGGATTAAAACAGAATTTTAGGATGTAAAGGACTGAAATTAAAGTTTGATCCTCCACATCCTACAATTCCCGCACGTTAATTAACATTAATACACGTGTTTCTTCTGGAACAATAAAGTGTGACGTAGACCACATAATTTATAGCAAAATATTTGTAAAAATGATTATTTCTAACCTATTATATTCTTAAAACTTCATTGGGATAAAGAGTAAATCCACCTTGACGAGTTGGCGCCTGGCAAAACAACTTCCTAGCAACACAGAACGACCTTGCAACAAAAACAGGTTACACGTCACAATACAAAAACCACAACATCTATATTATAATTAACGGTTTACTTAATTACCTGCTACAAACAAAATAAATATTATTTGCGAAGCCAGCTTCATTCTTATAGCATTTCTATAAAACAAATGAAATCATAAAATTTTACCAAACGTTATCTCCCGATGACACATCTGTACCAACTATATATAGCGCCATCTGGAATTTGAAAATATTCATATTCAAATTAATTAATTAATTTTTTATTAAATTTAAAAAATAAAATAAAATAAAATATTGTATTTTTACGTTATATATTTAATTGTAATTAAAAATAATTAAAATATTTTACATGTTTCCGTATTATTATTATTTTTATTTGTATTTTTTTACTCTCATTCCACTTGCAGAATTTAATTACAGTATAATATTGTACACCGGCTTTAAGGTGGGCCGAATCTTTTCTTTGAAACGGAGCATATATTCAATATAAATGCCACAAAGACAAGTGAAATTGAAGATAGTTTCGATTTTAATGAAGAAAATCTGAAAGTTTTCTTATACGATTTGAATAAGCACTGTTTTTTCAATTAATCTGAGTGTGGAGGTGCACTTTGAAACGGATATACGCATACGTTACGGAATCCTCACTCGAAACTGTACAGTCTCTCTATATGTCTATCTACATATAAATATATAGACACATGAAGGTATTCACATTACTGTATTAAAATTTTTGTTATGAGTAGCCTATATTCGGAAGAAGCGGGCGACTCGTCTTCTACAGTACTATTATAGTTGCGGTTTTTGCGTTTTTGTGGGAAATCGAACATATGTTTAGACGCATTTAAAAATTCTCTAATTAGTCTCGGAAGATGGTGAACCTAATTCTTGCATCCAGTGAAAATGGGTAAGATTGGCTATAATCTAATAATCTTAATCTTCGCTATCGTTACTTTTTGCCCGAGCAACGCCGGGCTCATCTGCTACTAATATATAATTGCTTTTATTTCTTCGTAACATATTGTTCTGTTTTTATTTTATGTTTGTCATTTTATTTCAATAAAATGAAAAACAGAATAATATGTTACGAAGAAATAAAAGCAATTATATATTATGATATCAATTAGCAATAAATAAATGATAAATAGCAATTATATATTATTCAGAGCATCGTGGGCCACAAAAAAAATCACATCGGGTGCCGCTAGTTTGATACTCCTGTATTAAACGTATAAAAACGATAAATTTTACACATTTGTATTTATTATATACTTTACAATATAAAATATTGCGGTATAAAAGGTTTCTGGTGACACTGATCAGCAGGACGACCTAATAAGCTTTGGGATTAGGGACTCGTAAAAAAAAAAAAACAAAATAGTGAATACAATTCTCGAGGAAACCCTCAAAATGGTTATAAGGCTCCATACTGCGGCCTATTCCTAGCGTACCAGTAAATAAACCACTGAACACTCGTAAAATAGTAGTCGTGGGTGTGCGCCTGGCCAACGGGCTGGCCACGCGGAGTTTTCCGGGTTTTCTTCACGTTAGTAACACCTGAATAGGCGCTAGTTCCCATAGGAGATCTCCCTGGAGGCATCTCCCTTGTGATATATCCCACTTATCGCGTTGCCGTATACGACAAAACCAATTTTTATGTTGTTTTAGTTTTTAATAAAAAAAATTACCGGCAAGATTAATGGATAATTGTTTTTTATTTGTTTATGCAACAAATTTTAACTCAATTGTTCAGATAATTATTAGAATCTTGCAAAAATTAACGTACTTTATTAGACATTAGCCAGATTTACGACGAAATTTTGTGAATTTAGAAATATTCTGGTAAAGAATAAAAAGAAGAAAGAAATCAAAAAATCGACCGAAAACGACGAATCAAATCTTTCAGAAAATAATTTTCATTATTCCATTGCGTATCTCATAGTCCATTCACACGCTTCTTCGTTATATCTTTCTCTGTCGGTCTCGTATAATTCGCCCACGTAAAGATCTAAAGGGTCTTCGGTGTTTGGATCGCACAGAAGCGAACAGATGGAAAGTAGCAATTTCGAAATGGTCAGCGCCGGAGACCACTTGCTTGATAAGATGTCCAAACAAATGCTACCATCTCTATAGATGTTTGGATGGTAAATTTTGGTTTCGAAATTAATTTCTGGAGGTCGAAACGGGTAATAGCGGGAGAAGCGAATGTTTAGATAGAAGACGCCTCCTTCGTAAGGACTATCGGGTGGACCCATGATAATAGCTTGCCAGTTAAACATGTTGTCGTCGATAGGTCCAGCCGAGCAATAATCTGGTGGATCTCTGGTGATGCCGATCAATTCCCTTTTAATTCGCTTCAGAGCTATTGCACTCGACATTTTGTAACTCTTGTTACTTGCGATCCGAATAGATGTTAAAACAATGAAAAATTATTTAATTATTAAATAATTAATTAATTGTTGTTATGACAATGCTAAAACGTTAATCTGAATTTAGTACTCCAATGATAATTAAATTATCATTTTAAATTATAGGCTATATTTTTTATTTTTCAAAAGTGCGATATGACTTTTAATCTGAAAAAGCAACAATAAACAGATTTAAAGTATTTTTGGCGTCAAATGTTGTCAAAATAAAGACTTTTTCACATTTTAAAAATAATGCGTATTTTTAATTAAAAAGTTATATACGTAAAGTCATATTTCGCTAATTAAAAAAAAAACAAAAAAAGGAGCTACAAGGAATTGGTAACCGGATGGTTAATGAACATCAAGATTTAGGATGCGACTTGTCTTCGAAGTGCATTTCCTGGATTCGCATCTGGATTACTTTCCAGAGCTGCAGCGATGTATTCGATAAACATGAAATTTTTCATAAAGACACTGTAGGAAGAAGCGGTAGGAAGGAAACTGTATGCTTTTCATGTTTGTTGAGTTTTGATGGAATATCATTACAGACAAAAATGTGTCACCATAAAAGATGAAAATGTTGTCTATATGCAAGATCTTATTAGATTTTTGGAAAATAGGTTTTGTATAATAATATTTTTGTAAATATTATGTTATGTAGCTAATTTATAAATTGTTATTATTATATATTGATACAAGGAATAAAGACTGATTTAAGTTACTGTACTTCATGAATTCACTCAATACATATCTTAAAATATTAAGAATACTGTATTAGCAAAACCTTAACATTCCGATTACTCAAATATCCCCGACTGAGAAAATCTAAACACAGATTAGAAATTAGCTCAGAAATTGCAATATATAACAGTGAAATAACGTAGAGGATACACAAATGACGTTGTGATATTTAATAAGTTTTTAAAACTTCACGCGCCGGTCGTTTAAATCGTGTTAAATTTGATGAAAAAATATGACAATAAAAAACCATTTTTAAATGAGAAAATGCGATAAACTTAACTTTACATGCAATTAAAACTTATAAATTGAAAAGAAATCGCCACTATGTTTCGTGACATTGCAGCATTAACATTTTCTAAATATTTGAATGTTTAAAAAATTATTTTATATGTAAAGATCAGGATTAGATTTTGCAATGAACAAAACAAAAAAAAATCGATTCTGCTAATTCAAATTGGCGTTTTTTGAGATTTAATTTAATATGTTCTAGATAAGAAAATATATTTCTATATCTATCCGGTAATTTTTCTTAATTCAACATTTGTATATTTACCGAAATGATCAGAGGTACATAATGAATCTGGAGTTGAGGATAAGTAAACTGTGAATGCATTCCATCCCACAGTCTACACATAATTTGTTAAAATGCATTTATTTGCATAATAATGAATTATTTGGTGTCCAGGTAAATTTTATTTTTCGCACAGTAGAACACTAGTATTCATAATCATATTGTAATTTACATATAAAAACATATTGTTTTCAATAAGTTTAATGAATTATTATTATTATTATTATGCTCAAATACAATAGAAATTGGTTAAGAAGCTTTCAAGGAAGCAATTTAAAGAATTCTCAAGCAGAAATAAAAATAATAAGCTTTTCATTCAACAATTCATATTTATTCAACAATGTTCCGCCACATTACAGTGAATTCCGGTTATACAGCATTTATTTATTTACATATTTGTTATTTGCAAAATGTAGTCTATTAACTCTCCGTAAACTCAACAGTATCATAGGTATAGTGATAGTGCAAGTCAGAATTCGCTATTTGCTTCAAGCACAGTCGCCAGTTAATCACATAAAAAGTTTTCCAATCCATGTTCAATGTTCAATCCATAATAATGTACATTGCTTTTTCACATGCAATTCAATGTATAAAATTTTTGGTAGGATGCAGCTGAAAAACTTCTTGAGCGAATTCTACTGTACTAACATTTATCAAACTTTATTTCAATTTGTATTCTATATAACAACGTCTGAATATAAGTAACAGCAATATTACAGCAACAACTACCATAACTGTAGGCCAAACTGGAAATGATGCACCAGTAACTAAAAAGAACGAAAATAAAATTTATTTATTTTAATTAGGCCTAAATCTAATTATAATTATGATTAATAATTCGTTAATGCATTATGAAATACAAATGAACATCAAAATCTGGAGTTATAAATCAAATAAGAAAAGCTAAATCGTGGCTGATTTTAGGCTATTAAATGGATTAATTGCATACGAAGTTGACCTGATATAGAGAGCATCGCCCTCTTTTAGAAACTTTAAAAACTAATTTAATTATTAGAATTTTTAAGAAATGGCAGTATAATACCGCGCTTGCGCAAAACAAACATAGGATGGAGGGTGAAACGACCAATCAGAAGCACCAACGTTCACGGCCTTCAGCGGTTCCACGCGACGTTCGGATTAAATGCACCAGCGCGATTTTACCTACTGTCAAATTCGTTTGTACTTAATTCATTTAATAGCATAAAATTGTCAAAAAGGCAGAGTTGTTGATTATTTTAAAAATATTTATTTAATTCAAAATATTTTAAAGATTAATAAAGTAAAATTTCCAAAAAATTTATTTATTTTCTTCCTTTGTATTAATTAAGCAAGAAACTTATGTACTGTACTTACTTTCAGTCCTTTCGATGGGGATTGTATCATTGGGCTTATATCTGAAATGACCAAAAATTAAGTATTTTAAATATTTAAAATGCTAAAAATTAATTTCGTGATAGATTATATCTAGATATTTATATCATTACGAAAGTATATTAAATAGATGCATTTAATCTCAGTTCAACATACTTTTCATAATTAACGTTAGCAAAAAAAGTTGAAAAGAGCAATCATATTTTTCATTTTTACATAGGAGAATGCAAAGAGTTTAATGTAATAAGTTTTTATTTTTATTTTTTTGTAACATTATGGAGCAATTTTTAATATTTCATTTATACTAAATACAAGTGATTACATATTAAGCCGATTACAAATGGCCTTCTGAATGATTGCTGACAAATTCGATAAACTATCATTTAATTAATCAAAATAAAAATTTAAAAACTTTAATGAAGAGAATGCTTCAGTTGCTATAGTGAATAAGTAAATTTGAAATGGGCTACTACCGTTTATTTTCCTTCTGGTAACCAATCAGATTTAAGACAAGCACATCACTGACCAATCATTTAGTCTCAATATCTTACATGTTTCGCAGAAGCCGACATATGTAAAATGTTTCAGAATTGCAAATCTTTTTATTTAAAAAAGTTTCTTAAGATAATTAAGATCTTGTGATAGTTCAATTCTTAAGCATTGTACTATCCCAAGATATTTCCCACTGAATCAAATTACAAATATATAAATAACCAACGTTATTTTAAAGTTGCGTTACTTTGATTTAAACGATTTGTAGTCCCATCTTCTTAATTCTGTACAGTTATTTTTCGATCCTGTGCTTAGACATTCCAAAAGCTGAAAAGTACCTGAAACATAAAAGTTGGTGTTAATTAGGAATACCACCATATATTTTAAAAAAATAATTTTCTATTGGTATGAAAACTACTTCATATATCACGAGATAGAACACTGTAATTAAAAATTATATGATAGAAGTTGCGTCACACATGGCAATCATCCTGAACCATTTAAAAGAGTACAAGAAAGACAATACAAAACTATAAAAAATCGAAAAATAAACTAATACAAATCAATTGCGCTAAGGCTTTTTTATGTTTAAATCAGATCGTGATTAAATTTTCTTATAAAACTTGTCACTGAACTTATGAAAATTATGGACGTCACAAGAAATAGACGCGTTGAAGATAGGAACAGATGATGGTTGTGACATAGACTTCTATTTGATCAATCCTTTACCGAATTACTGAAGATGACAATGGTGAAAATGAAAGGAAAAGATTATTACAGTAATACCTCGACTTACGCTACCCCGACTTACGCGAACTCGGAGTTACGCGATTTTCAAATCTCGTCGATTCGTCTTTTGTTTGAGTGCCACGCAACTCTTGATTACTCACTCCCCCCACACTATTGTTCGGCTTACATGTTAGGACGTGTCGCGCGGAATCGACACATAGCTACAATTTATTTTGTGTTATTTATTTCTGTGTTTGTTATATCTACGGAGACTTGAGAGACTCTATGTGGTGATTTCTTGTAACCGTGAACGAATTAAAAGACGAGATAAGATTAACGAGAACATTTATTAGCTTACATACATCCGACTTGGATTTTACACAAATTGCGAAATTATACCCCGACTTACGCGAATTCGACTTACGCGGTTATCGCTCGGTCCCACCTATCGCGTAAGTTCGGGGTATTACTGTATTAAATTTTGTGAATTAGTTGTGCCCTTGCGAATTATTCGCAAGTATATAAAACAAAATATTGAATGCAAAAAAACAAATCATTAGTTGGGAAATTATCGGAAACTGGGACAAGGCATTATTGGGATGAAATCTTTGCGACCGATTTGCGCGCGAATATAAATGGTTTTTGCGGCTCTACTGGGCTTCCATGTGAGTTGGGTTTTATTTTTTCGGAATAGATTAATAGAATACCTCAACACCTTGGCACTTTGCCCAGGTATTGTGCCAAGGGATTGCACCCTTAGAAATTTTCCAGGTAGGGTTTTCTAAGGGTATTTAGTAGTGGCGTGTGGTGACATTTGATGGTAGGGAAGCTGCAACGGCGGAAGCTGATACACTGCACAGACTGAGTCAAGTGGAATTGAGTGATCTCATTCGAGACCTAGACTTGTCAAAGCAGAAGGCGGAACTTCTAGGGTCAAGACTACAGCAATGGAATCTTCTCCAACGTGATGTTAGGGTCTCACAGTACAGAAACGTCAGAGGGATCTGCTTCCTTTTTTCAGAAGAAAAACAATCTGGTTGTTTGCTGCAACGTTAACGGCTTGACGAAATGTTTGAATTTGAACCATGCTCCAAGTGAATGGAGACTATTCATAGACTCCTCTAAGCTTAGTTTG